TTACATAATAATTGTATTATTTACATAATAATTGTATTATTTACATAATTATTAAATTATGATTAATGTAAAACTTCTGTTTCGTTTATTTTTTTCTTGTTGATTATTTTAAGTATTTAATTTATTATAATTTCTGTATAATCATGAATAAACAAGTGCTTTTGAAACAAAGATTTTCAAAATTTTCCAATATATACCAAAATCATGGATGAACTGCCGACTCAATTCAGGAATATTGCTCTTGTTGCTTATATCAAAACTACTGTAATGTCATACTCGGGCTTTATATTAAATATCAATATCAAGTACAGTCTTTTTTGAAGAATCAAAGAGAAGGTCACAAAGCGCTAAGTGTAGTGATTATTTCAGCTTAGTGATAACTTTTTCTGGGTTGCCTTTGCCAGCAATTTTTTGTCCGGTTCTTTGTTCAAACATATAACGTCTATTGGCACAAATTAAGCAACCCCGCATAAAAAACCAAGCAAAATGTGTTTAGATGATGCATAAGAAGCTTAAAAAGCGTCTAAACTTATTTCTGTGTTAACGCGAGGCTGTTTAAGCGCAACTTTTTTCACTTCTGCGATGATATCGTCAACTAAAGAGGTGGATGAACGTTTTGACTTTTGCTGAATGCCTTGTAGACAGTGTAGGCACTCCAAAATATTTCCAACAGTTACAGTGGTAGAGACGAACTGACATGTTTCAACTAAACTTCATACAAATAAAAGCTGTTGAACATAATTGAGTGCAGTTTTATTGAATAGTTCGGAGAAACTTGATGTACCTCATTTGATATTAGAATCTATTAAAAAGTTAAGGCAATCCATTCAGCTCTCAATTAATATTACTCATTAAGCTGCTTGGAAGAAATAGAGTAGTATAAAAATGACATTATTTTTAAATCGTTAATTAAATTATATAGAAACTTTTCGCATTTTTACTTAACTGCCGAAAATAGTCGAGATGAAAAACATTCAAAAAAGCACGAGGAGTTTTCTTCACATTTTTATTTTTATCTTAATCAGAAATCTCAAGTGTGACCTTGTCACCTCTATTTATATGAACTACCTAGATTTCTGTACATTAATGTGTGAGAAAAAATCAGAAAATTAATCGCTCCTAGAAAACGCTAATCAGAATGCTATGAATTTACAAAGAGCTCTCCAGGAACAATACCATAAAAGACCATATGGCAATATTTGGATAACGTCTTTTAAAATGTAGAAGTAACATATAAGAGTCAAATAAATTTTAAAACATATAAACTATGAGAAACTAATTTTGTAATACACACAAGTGATCTGAAGTGCACACTTAGTTCTCCAAACTTTTATACAAACTCAATTTTATTAAAACTTAAAAATTAATTTTTAAATTTATTAGTTATCATAAGCAAGACTTGGGCTTTAATTCTCAAATGTTCCTTAATAAAGATGTTTTTTTTTAGAATTGTGCTTTTCTAACAAACGGAAAACGCATAGAGTTTAATGTTATGGCCAAGCACTTAGCTTTATTATAAAAACAAGGGTTTGCCAATATGTTTAAAAAAGCAAGTGACCGCCACAACTGGCTCGAATAAATTTCAGCCGAGACGCTCAACTTTCGACCAATTTTTGTAGCAATTGGGGCCATATGTCAGCAATAACGCTCAGAATATTCTCTCTCTACCAAGGCTTCAATCATCTCGGGCTTATCTAGATAGACAAGTGTTTTCACATAATGCCACAAAAATAGTTCAGCTGTGTTAAATCACACGATCTTGAAGGCGACGCCACAGGCCCACGACGCGGGATAATGCGCTTGCTAAAACTTTCCTTCAATAAATTGATTGTTTTGTTGGCTGTGTAGCATATAGCACCGTATTGTTGGAACTAAAGGTCGTCCACATCAACATACTCCAATTCAAGAACGAAAAAGTCATTAATCATAGCTCTAAAGCGTTCCCATTAACTGTAACGTTATGGCCGGAAATATGGACCAATGATTTCCTCTGCCTACAGATCACACCAAACTGTGGCTTTTTGAGAATATAACGGCGTCCTTCGTGGCAAAATGGCCATCTCTTTTTAGTACATTCACCGAACGTGCGACGCGTTTGATGGTCGTTTGGCTTCAATTATTCTTCCTCTTCCTACACGAATTGGATTTTGTAAGCCCGCAAAGCAAAATCGTTCCGCAAACTCTAAAAGTGAATGGACTCATTCTAGTATTCCTGGATAGTCTGCTCCACAGCAGCAATAGCGCCTTCGATGTGCACTGCACGGCTTCCTCGAGGATCTTTATCTGGATGTTGATCGGTCAGTTTTTATGGCAGCTATATGCTACGTATAGTTAGACAGTTCCAACAAATGAGCAGCTTCATGAAGAGAAAAGGACGAACGCAAAATTTCAGATCGATATCTCAAAAACTGAGAGAGAAAGCTGTAAACTTGGCAACTTTAAAATTTTACGAAAATAGACGAGGATCCCCATTTTAAAACCTTATGTTCCTATACAAATAAAAATGAATAAAACAAAACTTTCCCAACCAAACTAAGGGCGACAAAAAGGACTTTGCTGTTACGCAGCCACTCCCTTTAGATAATTCAAACAAGATGAGTGTGATGCATGCTGCAGGCTGCGGCAATGCAACAACTTCCACTTATATACTTATAACGGTATGCCTATATTCGCTTGTGCAAAGTAATGTCATAAGCCCTGAAAACTATTTCCACATTTGCGATTGTAAAAATGTAAAAGAAGCAAATAAAGCGACACGGCAGCAACACACCATTACAGCTGCCATAGACTTTAATGTCAACGGCTAAGACGTAGCGACGTACAGCGCACAGGGAAAGCAGGTCAGTTCAGTCCATTCGAGGTACATATACTTATGTGGGTACATACATGCATACATACATACATACATACATACATATGTATACATACATACATACATATGTATACATACATACATATATACATATCTATACATGTAAATGTATATATATGTATTACATTGGCTGCTGCTTCTCACCGCTTCGCGAGTTCCAACAGCGATTCATCAAACCGATTGTCCGTCCTTGTCCGTTTTGTGAATCAATTCGATGTGTGTCGGTTGTGCACGAAGCGACATCAAATAGCTCGTTTCGGCTGCCTTGTCCTTGGCATCGTCGCGTCGATGCGTGTAATTGAGAAATTCTTTCATTTTGTTGCCTACAATGTTCCACCTAAATACACAAACTAATACATGGATGTATGTACCTATGCGCATGTATATAAACGAAGAGCTTGCACATACAGATGTAACTGTATACGCGTTAGCTTTTCTGACATTCGCCTCGTTTCGCTACACCCTGTACTCATGTACGTCTGCGCTTAACGGGATTTATTTTAATGTGTTCGTATTAGTTACACATACACATTTACGCCTATGCGTCTAAGCTTGTGGAAATTTTCACATGCCCACGCTATTTGAGTGGCTTCCTCGCTGTAACTATTTCCACAGCGCACGAAGCACACCGAGTGGCATGCAAATACCTATGTTGAAAGCTTTTTGGCCACTCTTCCCGAAGTCATTTGGCTGTTGCTCATTGATAAAGTCACTTTTCACGCTCTCTTTCTCCGCCTGCTCAACCATATTGAATGCCATCGCTCTTCTTCTAAGCATACTCTCATCAAATATGCTGTTCTCTCCGCATGCTCTTATATGCTTCATGTTAAATTGACACGAAGAGCGCTCGTGTCCATCGTATCATGAATGAGTGGTTCGGCAAAGTTCAGCTGCCCGTCGCCTAACTTTCCATTCAGCAGCGGCAACAACGCGGGCCGAAGCATGAAAATATAACAGCGACAAAAACAACATAAACCACATAGAAAAGTGAAAGTCGCATATGAAAATGTGGCGCATGCGCCTAGAACAACTAATACCAATATTCATAGATTCAGACAGGAAAATCAGCATCGGCAACTGATGAGCTTGGCAAGGGCAATGGTAGATGACTCCATGCGACACACTTCGTTGGCATTAGATGCTCAAGAGATAAAATGCCAGCTAAGCGCTGTCGAGCGCGAACGCCTGATGAAGAAAAAGTCTCGATTTCATTCATTAAATAACCGCAAGCTGCGGTGGGAAGGGCAATTCGCTGACTTCGATGGCTGAGGTGACTGTTGCTTACGTTCACTTTAAGTTCGTTAAATAATACAATTTAGCTGCCATTGTTAGCTTATACATTAAAAAATACCTTACAACCTTTTTGACTCAGTCAAACTAATTTGTATCTATTTTTTTGTCATTTGATTTGCCGCCCACAGCGCTAGGCGGTAATGACGATACAACATCGACATGGCCGAGCTTATCGGGCGTACACAGCGAGGTCAAGCATGGTTCGGCCCGCCAGCTGCTGGGCTCCAGTTTTGTTCGCGACAGCATTGCGCTACAGCGTCAGCACCAGGAACAACAACAGCGTCTCTTTCGATCGGGAGCTAGCAGTAAAGCAATCGGTGGTGCCGGTGACGCTATTGCACTTCATCAGAAGCAAACGCCACAGGATACACACGCGCAGTATCATCTAGGCGATCATGATGAAGAAGACTTTCATCCATCAGACTTCCCGCCACATGAGCATCCCGACGCCGATTATTTCGCACAATATGCACCGGAACTCTACACCACCGAGTCGCAGCAACAGCCGTCATACAAAACAAATGCCGCTGCAGCACAAAACAATGCGGGCGGCGGTGGCACCAGACACCGTGATATTGGTGCGCGCAGCGGTATTAGTCGTACGGATCTGTATGGTGTACGCGAATCCGATGATCGCCTGGGTGAAATGACGCGTAGTCGTGAAGGTTACATCCGACATCAAAAGGAGAAAGTCTTTCGGCCGCATGTTAATATCGTCCGCGATGAGGGTAACCTGATGAGTCCCAATGACGGCTATGGGCATACCTGTCAGAATGTGTGCGGTGACACACAATGGTTATGCCTCAGTACATGTACCTGTATTGATCAGAGCGCGCGTTGCGATAAGAAGAACGATTGTGAGGATGGCGCTGATGAGTTCGATTGCGAAGTGATTGGCGATATGTTGCATAAATTGCAGAAGGATTGCGAACAGACGGGCATGCATGTCATGTGTCCGCGCACATATCGTTGCATCAACAAGGAATGGCTATGCGATGGCGATGACGACTGTGGTGATTATTCGGATGAGACGCATTGCGGTGCAAATATGGCGCGTATGAATTGCTCAGACGATGATCAGTTCGAATGTCAAAATGGTTTTTGCATACCGAAGCAGTGGGTTTGTGATGGAGAAAATGATTGTAAGGATTTCTCCGACGAAGCGCATTGTAATCGCACGAGGTAAGTAAAGACTTTTTATCAATCGGTCTTAATTAATTGGGTGCGACGAGCTGTCACCTATCGTAAATAAGGTGAGAAACCTTCCAAAAAAATATGTACATAACATATGTATAAGCTATGCAATGAGATTTCTTCCAAGTCTTGGCCGATGAGAACACATGTGCCGCAAAGCGATTAACTTTTTCTATATGTTAGCAATAATATTCCAGGTTCGGAAGTTTTCAATTCATATTGTATGATTTCATTTTCTCGCTCTATTGTTTTCTCAAATTCAACTTTTTAACACTCTATATCTCTCTCTTTCATGCACAATTAGTTGCTCAGCAGAGCACTTTACCTGCAATGACGGCTACTGCATTTCGATCGCCTTTCGTTGTGACGGCGAACGCGATTGTAATGACAACTCCGACGAACTCAAATGCCCCGCGGTCTTCAATCGCTGTCCGGAAGGTGAATTTAAGTGCCGTGGCAGTCATGGTGGTCCGAGCGGACAGTGCATATTGAATCGTTTCCATTGTGATGGCGATAATGATTGTGGCGATTGGAGTGACGAAGAAGATTGTCCACAAAAACCATCCGATTGTACGACAAGCGAATTCAAATGTACCGATGGCAGTTGTATACCGCGACGCTGGAAATGCGATAAGGAACAGGATTGCGAGGGTGGTGAGGACGAGCACGATTGTGGCAATATGATAGGAAGTACGCCGATTAAGTGTGGACCAGACGAATTCACATGTCACAACGGACGTTGCATACTGGTAGGTTGAAAGTGCCCTCAGTGGCAGTTAGCTATGGCAGATCTTCAAAATTATAATTTTACCTCTAACTACTAGAATACTTGGCTTTGTGATGGCTACCCGGATTGTTCGTCTGCCGAGGATGAGGTAGAATGTCACCTACAGTGTGATCCCGGACAATTTCTGTGCCCAGCCAAGAAGAACATCACAAATTTAAAGTACAAGTGACCTCATCTACTTTTTTTGTTTCTTTGCTCAAACTTCTTTTACTTTTGCAGGATTTGTGTGCACCAAAAGCATGTCTGCGATGGCCAGAATGACTGCCCGTTAGGTGAGGATGAAGTGAACTGTCCACACCCACGTACCTGCGGCGAAAACTCACGTTGCGAGCAATTATGTATTACCACAGCGAAAGGACGGGAGGAGTGCGCTTGTAATCTCGGATTTCTCATGCACGAAAACCATCGGAAGTAAGAGAGATATTACTGTTAAAGAATTTGCAGTACATATTTACGTATGTAATCATTTCATTTACCAGTTGCACCGACATCGATGAATGCCAATATATTACGAGTCCAGTTTGCTCACAAAAGTGCGAGAATACACACGGCTCATTTAAATGCTCCTGCGAAACCGGCTACGTCTTACGGCCGGATCTACGCACTTGTAAGGCACTCGGCGGCGCGATGACATTGGTCGTGGCTAATCGTTGGGACATCAGGCGTGTACAACTGAGCAATAACCGTTACTCGGCTGTAGTCAAGGGTTTGCACAACGCAATCGCGCTTGATTTCCACTATCGTAAAGGCTTACTCTTCTGGTCGGATGTTTCTACGGACGTAATTAAAATGGTGCACATGAATGGTACACGGCTGCGAGATGTTATCAAATGGGGCTTGGAATCGCCTGGTGGCCTAGCTGTCGACTGGGTGCATGATCTACTCTTCTGGACCGACTCGGGTACACGACGTGTAGAGGTCTCCAATTTTATGGGTACGCTGCGGGCCGTTATTGCATCAAATGATCTGGATAAACCGCGGGCCATTGTTATACATCCTGGTGAAGCGTTAGTATTTTGGAGCGATTGGGGTGCGTAGCGAGAACATCTATTAACTGGAGATGACACGAAAAATTTAATTATAATTTTTTTAATACAGGTCCTAATCCGAAAATCGAACGCGCTTATATGGATGGCTCACAGCGACAAGTCATCATCGCAAATGGTGTCACATGGCCCAATGGCCTCACAATAGACTACCCCAGCCGAAAGATTTATTGGGCCGATGCGAAACAGCACGCGATTGAGTCCTCAAACTTTGATGGCACTGAACGCGTGAAAATACTCAGCACACATTTGCCGCATCCATTTGCGCTGACCATCTTTGAAGATACCATGTACTGGACCGATTGGAATACGAAAACCGTCTCTGCAGCTAATAAGATTACCGGTAAGGGTTTCCGTTCGGTGCATGAGAACTTCCACTTCCCCATGGATATACACGCTTATCATCCAGCGAGACAACCAGAATATCCGGATCGTTGTCAAAAGGATAGACGCGGTCTAAGAGGTGGCTGTTCTCATTTGTGCTTGCCAAATAAGCTTTCGCGCCGCTGTGGTTGTCCCATTGGCTTATCACTAAAGGAAGATGGGTAAGTAAATCTAAAACTCACTTAAGCAGTTGTAAATCAACCTAGCAATGTGTTTTCCTTTCATTAGTAAAACCTGTAAAAGCATACCCGACAAGCTTGTGCTCGTCGCACGCAGAAAGGACATCCGACTGAGGCAACTAAATACAAAGTCAGCTGCTTCAAATGAAGTGGATATGATTTTGCCACTGGATTATATGAAGCATGCTGTCGCGCTAGACTGGTGCAGTGAAACGGACTATATCTATTGGACCGATGTAGAGCGGAGTACGATTAATAAGGCACATCTCAACGGTAGCTACCAACAGCGTGTAGTGCATTCGAATCTCGTCTCGCCAGCTGGTTTGGCTTTAGACTGGATTACAGATAAACTTTACTGGACCGATCCTGCTACTAATCGTATCGAGGTGGCAACTACAAATGGTAAGAAGCGTACGCTACTAATTTGGGAAAAGCTCGATAAGCCCCGAGACATTGTCGTGAATCCGATAGGTAAGTGGAGCCTACAGAACAGAGTAGCCGTAATAAAAAATATATATTTAATAGTATCATGTCATAATATCAAACTATTAATTTTTTGTTTGCAGAGGGCATAATGTTCTGGTCGGATTGGGGCGAACGTGCTATGATAGAGCGCGCTAATATGGATGGCAACGAACGAGTAATAGTCGCTGAAACGAACCTTAAGTGGCCGAATGGCTTGGCGATAGATTACGGTCAGCAAAGGTTATACTTTGTGGATGGCGGTACGAAAACGCTTGAAAGTATGGACTTTGATGGCGGCAAACGTAAGACTATATTAAGTAAGTAGCAGGGAAGACAACAAGAGTTTTGTGAAATTACATGTACCATTTTTTTTTACTCAACAGCAAACCTTGGTCATCCTTTCGGTTTGGATATCAGCGAAAACCGCGTCTTTTGGACAGATTGGGATAACAAGTCCGCATTTAGCGCCGACAAGCTCACGGGTCAGAATATTACCACAATTATAGCGAATACCAGCGATTTGATGGATATACGCGTGTTCCATCGCTCACGTAGGAGTATACAGAATGCTTGTGGTTCTAATAATGGCGGCTGTTCACATCTCTGTCTACTAAATCCAACGAGTTTCACTTGCGCCTGCCCTGTGGGGGTGCAATTGAGGGTAAGTGTTAATCACTTTTCTTTACATAAATATTCTAATAATATTTGATATAAAACAGAGCGATCTGCGAACATGTGCCGAGGGTCCCAGCCGCTTCATCATCTTCGCACACCGCATCGACATACGACAGATCTCACTGGACTTTGCGCATTTCATCGACGTTGTGCTGCCGATGCCACCGATTGGAAATGCAGTCGCTTTGGATGTAGACTCGACAACAGGCGTAATTTATTGGTCCGACTCTAAGCAACATGTGATTATGAGCTCCACACCTGATGGCTTAAATGTGCACAAAATTATTGGTGAAAGCTTGGATAATCCTGATGGTTTAATTGTGGACTCTGTTGGCAAAACGGTATGCATTGAAAACTTCTTTCAAGCAGACATTTTCAAATTCATTAACTTATTGTAGATCTATTGGGCTGATGCTGGGCGTCACACCATTGAGGTAGCCAGCCTGGATGGCAAAAATCGTCACTTGATCGCCTACAAAGATCTGGAATCACCACGTGGTTTGGCCCTGGACTATGAAGCCGGTCTACTGTTTTGGACCGATTGGGGTCATTATCGTAAGATCGAACGTTCTCATATGGACGGTGAGAGTCGTCAGCGTATTGTCACATCAAATCTTGGTTGGCCAAATGGTTTATCGTTGGATTTGAAAACGAAACGTATTTATTGGGTAGATGCGCAATTGAAAACTATCGATTCATGTGATTATACCGGTAATCAGCGTAAATTGATAATGTCATCACTGCATCATCCGTATGCGTTAGCCATGACTGATGAGCATATCTATTGGACCGATTGGAAATCAAAAGCTCTGCACATGACAGATCGTAGAAATATCACAGCGAAAAAGGAGATAATGACAAATATTGATGGATTGATGGATATTAAAGTGATAATGGTAAACAAAATTATGAATCCATGAGAATTTTCATTTATAATTTATTTAAAATTTTATAAACAGGTTAACAAAACACAACCCGAAAATGTCTGTGGCCCAAGCAATGGTGGCTGTTCGCATCTCTGTCTACGCAATCCAACCGGTTTCTCGTGCAGATGCCCGATTGGGCTTAAATTGAAGGAGGGTAGTACTAGTCAATGCCAAACTTTGCCAGATGTGAGTTTCAAAGTGTTTACGATTTTTTAATAAGAGTTTTCACTTCGGTTGAGTCATCACATTTTAAAACTGCAGCGGATTTGGGAATTTGTATATCCAAACCTTTTTTTATTTTGACTGAACATTTTTTAATATAGAATTCTACGAGGCGATTGTTTCAGATTGTTTTCGAGATAGTGTGTTCATTTCAGAAGTACTGAGCGTAGCATACCGACTCTTTTCTTGAGTTTTGTGTAGTATCGATAATTCTATAGATACTTTAAGACAAGTACTGCATATTATTTTTCAGTTTTAGATTATAAAAGATTTTGTTTTTAAGTTCTTGTACTGAGATAATTATCGATAATTTTCTATTAATATAAAAACTTATAAACATTCAATCAATCATAATTGAATTATGAAAACCCCATAAAAAAACTGAAGTATAAGCCGAGTAATTTCGGGTAGATTCCATCACTATTCAAATTGAATTTAATTTAACGGCAAATTAAAGATGTTGAAATAAAGGGGCTTTTCAATATTTACAAATTTCTGACTACATAGGAATATCTGCTCATCGCACAACGCTCTGGCATCGGTATGATCTCACTCAATATGCCCGATTATATGGACGTCGTACTGCCCATCAGTGCCGTGCATGGCGCTGTGGTGCTCGACTTTCATTATCGCAAGAAATGGCTTTTTTTCGCCGATGTTAACTCAGATGTTATACGACGTATAGATCTCACCAATTTGTCCGACAGCAAGACGATTGTAAATAAAGAACTATTGACACCGAATGGTATAGCAATCGATTGGATTGCGGATAACCTGTATTGGTCCGATACTGATCGAAAGATCATAGAGGTAGCGCGTTTGGATGGCAGCTGTCGTAAAGAGCTCGTTTCCGACGATTTGGGTGATCCACGTTCGCTAATCGTGCATCCCCGCAAAGGGTTTGTCAAAATAATTAATTTAAGGTGTGGTATAATTTTTAATGTAAACTCTTTTTAGATATCTATTCTGGTCCGATTGGGATGCGCCGGCACGCATAGAACGTAGTCTATTGGATGGATCGAATCGCACTATGATTGTGACCGAGAATCTGGGTTTCCCCACCGGCTTAACGCTGGACTTTGAGTGAGTTTCTATATGAATAGTAAAAGAAACTGAAGCATTTTGAAATTTTTTTAAATTTTAAATTAGCAACCGACGTCTATTTTGGGCTGATGCACTTGAAGATAACATTGCTTCAGTGGACTTCAATGGCAAACGAAGAACTAAAATAATCGACTATGCGCCGCACCCCTTCGGTCTCACAATGGTACGTAAATCAAGGACTTACTGAAATTTGTACGAGCTAAAATGTTTCCCTTTTCTAGTTCGACAACAGTATTTACTGGACCGATTGGTACAACAAATCCGTCTATCGCTCATATCGCAAGGGTCGCGGCTACAGCAATCCAGTGGAGATACGCGACTCACTTAATGGAGCGTTGGATATACGAGCTGTCTCAATTAAACGTCAACCCGAGGAGTGGAATCAATGTGCACAAGAAAATGGCGGTTGCACGCATCTCTGTCTCTACCGTGGGGCGGATTATGTATGCGCGTGCCCCGATCAACCCGATGATCATGAATGCAAAACGACACCTAAATTTGTAGTGCCACGTCCGAATGGTGGTGATAATTCTCCAGATTATGCGGAGGAAACCACTGATGGCGAGGGTAGCTCAACGGAACATGATGATGACAATTATGGCGCAAGCTCGAAAACTAGTAAACGTGAAACGCTGATACTCATCGCTAGCGGTGTGGTGATCCTTATGCTTATCGTAATCATAGCTGCTATACTATGTAAGTAGCAAATTGTTAAGAATGAGTTTGAATTGTTTTATAATTTCTACTAATTATTTGCAGTTCTGATGTTCAATTCCAAGCGCAATAAAACGAAAAGGCACGCGCGAGGTTCCAGTCGCTCGGTATTGACCTTCTCAAACCCCAATTACAATGTAGATGGCACACCAATGGAACCAAAGACAAACATTTGGAAACGCTTCAAGTACGATAAATCGCATGTAAGTAAACTCGGGAAATTCCATATATTGACACTTAGACCATACCAAAAAAATCAACATAATCTACATTGAATACGTTCGTAAAAGCATTTTGGAGATTTTCTCCATGCTTCGGGCAATCTCATAGAGGAAAGTTTGTACAGAATCTAAAAAAATAGTCTCCTCAAAAACTTTATAAAAAGTTTCAAAGAAATTACGATTTAGGGTGCTCCAGCTAGATACTTGAATTGAAGTAGTAATATATCCAGCCTTGAACAGGAAGCGCTATAGGACGTATATTCGCTTTTGGGATGACTAGAGATTCCACCACCGCTCGGTATTACCTGGCCGTCACTCCTTAGCAGACAATGGTAAAGCTCCAAAGGTATTTAAGCTTTGAACAAGTTTCATATTACAACAATAAACTACTTGAAGACAACTTTAGGTCTGTAGGCCACCCTGGATTTTCGAACTTCAGGACACATATGTATAAGTCGAAGCTATTAGAATTATTGATTCCTATTATATTTTTACTATTTAACTCCGCTATCCACAGAGAACCCTATAAGTTGAAACCCACACATTTTACCACTGCTTCACAAGCTTTGTATTGGTTACATTCAATTTTCATAAAACCTTCCATATCTAGCAATCAAAAAGTATAATAAGCAGCTCTTAGAGGAAAGTTAGCTGGTAGCAGCAAAAATTCGGATTAAATGTGACAGTTAACCAGTAAATTCGCCTTTTTCAAAGCACAATTTATCTCTTCCTGACCAAGCCAAGAATATTAGTCTAAAGACTAAGTCATAAAACTGTAGTGTGTAACTTGAGTTGGAGAATATAGAAATTACAGAACGTAAAATGGCCACTAGATTCCTAGAAAGGCAAACATCTTACAGGTTCTCACCAAATCCAAAAGCATAAGATCAAGCAAAAAGACTATCAATAAACTTTCAGCAGGAAATATAGCGAACATTTGTATGCCGCTCATACCAGAGTCACTAAGGAAGTATTTACCAAGGCCGAGTCATTAACTGTAGCTTAGTATAACTCCCTTGGAAAGCACAATAAATTTACCGAAGGATTAAGAACAATCGCTTGCAATGAGGTCTTTAAGAGCCATAAAGTCCTTTAAAATTATGAACATCCCCCAGTTGTTGCTAGCAAAAGGTTAATCCTCATTGAAATATTTTCAGGAGCGTGTCTACGAAGAGCGCAGCATGACCACCGAGACAGCCTCGTCGAGTCTCTTTGTGCCGACGCCATCACCAATGGCATCGCCCTCTACCAAACTAACGACACTCTCAACAATAACGTAAACCAAGGAGAACATTGAACTTCACAACTCGTGTAATGTGACAACAGACACAGAAAAATTCTACACAAGGAAAGAAAAACAAATACAAATAAAAGCGAAACGCTAAACACAAAAACTGCGCATAAAAATTAACTACAAGTAAAGGCAGCAGTTTTTCCCAACACATACACTGGGAGAAACACAATTCTAAATATATACATATGTAATATGTAACGAAAGTATGGATAAATGAAATCATAGTTGTTAGTGTAGCGGATTTAGAGACCTGTCTTAAAAAAAATTTAATAATTGTTTATATATCAACTAAATTTTTTGATTTCACATTTTCGAAAACTAAAAAAATACAACGTATATACATATGTATGTATATTTAGACAAAATATGTGTGTGTAAATATAACATTTATTAAAGTAGAAAAGTCAAAGGAATGCGGAAAGGGGTAAGCAAATGTAGTGAGCGTGACAAAAAGATAGATGAGAGAGCGATATCTATGAAGAGCGCGACCGCCAAGTTATGTAAATTAATTAATATGCACGGTTGTTTCTAAACGAAATGAAATACTATTACATATTTACATATGAGAGTGTGTGTGTAAATGTCTGTATGTTTATTAGAAAACAATCGTTTTATTTCGTATGTGTAATTGACAGCAGAGAATTAATGTAAAAATAAATTATTTAAAGAAGAAAATGAAAAATTATGCCGTCAACTGCACCGACTCTCCACTACACTGTACAAAATATTTAGTAAGAATTAAAATTTAACTTAAGCTTATTTTTCAAAAAAATTTTATTATTATTTTTGTAAAATATATTTGTCATGTTTCCGCAAAACCATATTCAAATGAAAAACTGAACTGAATTTGTGAGGAATATTATTAAAAAAATTAATAAAATGCCTTGTATGCACAGGTGTATGTAAAAACATGTATGTATATACATATATACGGATGTCCATGCATACGCACATGCGCATTTGCATGAACTGAAGCATCTAACTGACTTTAGCAAAGCATTTTTAAAACAACAATAAATGAAGAGCGCCAACACGCTGAACAACAAAACGAAAAACCAAAACACAAAAGAAAAAAGAAAAAACGATTTTTTATTAACTAACAAAAATTTTCCTATTTGCAACACTGAACAAAACTAAAAATCAGCGACAAACTACAAAACGAAAGTACTGAGTAACAAAAAAAAAGATACAAAATGATGTGAAGGAGCAAAACAAAATTCTGTATGTGTGTAGGTAAAAATGTTTGGTAATAACGCATAGTTAAGCGAAATGTGACAAAACGTCTAACGGCATTTATAGAGACGGTTCTAATGAAATTTGTAAATAGTGAATAATTCCGTAGCGTCTCAAAAAATTACTGCATACAGACAAATAAATTTAAATTATTACAAAAATAGCTGTATTTGTCTGTATAAATGCAAAAGAAAATGGTGTCAAAATAGCAGTGTAACGTTCTTTAGAAGTAAAACAAACTAAAATAAAAATTCGCCTAACTACTAGTTAAGATTCCACAATAAAAAAATATAATAAAATATAAATATAAAAATAAAACTAAAACTAAAATAGCATTACATATTATGAATAAAATTTTAAGCATGTAAATGAAGAAAAGTTACTCGTTGTGCCGCAGCAACAACAAGTAAAACTGTGAATTTGTGCCAAAAACAATTGAAACAAACAAAAACTAAATTTACGCATAAGTTAAATAAATTAAAATTAATTATAAGTAATAAAAATTAATACTAAAATTATTTAGTAATTATTTGCGTGCAAAACTTGCAACGTTAATTTGCTGTGTTTTGGCACACTGTGCGGGTAGCGAAAATAGTGTTGCATACAATAAAAAATTATGAGTACTTCACTTTTTAATTTTTAGCACGCAATCTATGTACAATTTTAAGAATAACTTAAAAAGAAAATTATATTATTAAATCAAAAGTTGTGTAAATTTAAAAATTTAATATAAATTTTAAATTAAATTTTTATTTTTTTTATTCTGAGTTTCGAAATATTTTATTTTTATTTACCTTATTTCAAAAATAAATAGGTTTTCAAAATTCAAAAAAAAAACTAATTAACTATTTAATGCAAATATTTAAAAAAAAATTGTTTTCTTCGTAAATTTATTTCTGTGCAAGAGATTTTGAAGAAAGGAAAAAATTATTTTCACAAAATTGAATGGTTTAATAACAAAGAAAAGGATTTCGTAGTAATTTGAACATCTTTAGAAGCAAAAACAAAATTATTAGATACACCGAACTGCTCTTGCTCGTGAGGAGAGGAATCAAAGCAAAACTATTAGGTAAATTCACTGAATAATTAAAACTCTTAAGGTACACCAAAATTCTTTTATGCATTGATTTCCAATAAGAACTGCATTTAAACATTCTCTACGTAGTAATAATTTTCTAATTGGCTAATATAATTTTAATTTTATTAACCAAAACAATTAAAAACTATTATTTTTGACTCTATTTATTATTTTAATATTTTTAAATGTTTTAATTCATTTTTAAGTTTGGATAAAATAAATTATAATTAAGCAAATTAAACTTAATTAATTATTATATTATTGAAGTCTAAAAATTCACAGTTATTTGCATTGCAAATACGGCTTCTCCACATAGCCACGGGCTCATACAGGCTATGTAGAGTTGCCAGCAATGTAAAAACCATGAATTTTAAGAAGTTTCAACAAAAAAAATTGAGAACATTAAAACCGAATTGGTCATAATTAAAAATATTTTGTTTTATTAAATATAAAAAATTAAAAAGAATAATAATTTAAAAATTATATTATATTTTTTTTTAATAAAAAATAAATATAAGATATTGCCTGTCAGGAAACTTTTTTCTAAATGTACAAAAGTAAAGCAAACCATATAAAAAAATTTAAATATATGTATGTATGTAAAAATGCATATAAAAAATAATTATACATAATTCTAAAAATTATAATTTCAAAAAACAAAAAATTATTATTTTAAATATATATTTCCTAAAAATTGTAAATGTTTGTGTAAATACATTAAATATTTACTTTTTGGTAAAAAAAATTGTATGAAAATATATTGTTAATATTTTAATTTCTTTCCAATATTTATACATTTGGAGTTGTCAATAATCATTTCCGTTAAAATAAGTTAAATTATATTAAATGAAAGCTGAACCGCGTGTTTCTGTATACATTTATGTATCCAATTAATTTTTTAAAACCAAATGGAAAAGAATTACAACACAATTCGAATAAAAATCTTAAAATATTTTCAAAAAGTTTATACAAAAAAGTTGTATACTAATTTTTGCTTTGGAACTGTTTATTACTGCTGTTTTACATTTATTTTAGTTTTTAAGACATTATAGTATAAATAAAGTAAAGTAAACAAAAATGATTAAAAAATAATTTTAAAAAAAAGTTAAGGTGGATAATATTGGTTACAAACATATCTCCATCCATGAATGAACAAAACTAAATTACTTATACAAAAAAATAAAACCAAAAAATTTTACTCTAAAACAACAAAAAACATGTGTATATATAAAAAAAAATAACTAAACTGTGTTACACAAAAAACAAAACATAATAATAATATTTAAATTAATTACATGCCGTAAATACCGACAAACTTTACGAAATGTGCATTTTTCATAAACAATTTTTTACTTTTCTTCGTTACTAAACCAACAGGAATCAACACTAAAAAATACATACATAAATATTTGTTTGTACAATTTATGTATTTATAGAAAGTAATAATGAATAAATAAATCATCGACTGAATACATGTAAATTACTGTCAATAAAACTGTAAAAAATAAAAACTATATGAATCACACATACACGCAACATGCAAGTACGTTGAAAGTTCCCAATAGTTAATCTTTGCAAGTTGAGAAAACACAAATCCAAACGCATGCACAATAAATTTATGAGAAAATAGTTATTAAATTTTAATTTTGAGTGATTGAAAAAACATCAATGCATTAAACCGTAAATGTAAAATTTACAAAAAAAGGATTTTAACCTTAAATACAAAAAATTTATTTGCGCTTTAAATAGAAAATAATAATTTAAACCTTAAATACAACATTTTTTTATAAAATTTTTTTATAAAATTTGCACATCCACTTTTTTCTTATATTTTTCGATCTCAAAATATTTAATTAGCTTACTACATGCTACAAAACAAAATCGAATATTCACATGCAGTTTACCAACAAAACCAATTTACTAAAAATACTAAAATTTTAACGCCCATAATTGCTGCAATTACAACCCAAATAGAATATATATTTAATTTTAAGCACTTGAGTTAATTAATTTTTTACTTTTACAAATTACATGTGTATTTATGTGTAAATAAGAGAGAGATAAGAGTTCAACAAAAGTTATACCTAGTAATTAAGTAAACACAAAAAATATAATTTTTTTTATTATTTTTAAAAGTGAAATTTGGTAAAAAAAAAGACAAAATTACGATGATTCCATTAAGATATTAAAGTAATTATATTGTAGTTGTAAATTCGACAATATAAAATAAATAATTGAATGCACATACCAAAAAACAAATACTGGTTTGATAGAAAATAATGAAAATACTGGCGAAAATCAAACCAATAAGTATTTATTTTTACGTTACAAATTAAGTATAATTTTATATATAAATGCAGGAGATCAATTAATTACGATTTGATTTAAAAAATATTTAATTAGTAGTTGTTATTTTTTTAATTAATAAGGAAAAGAATGATAATCAAACATAATTAATCAGTAGTTCATTAATACAATAATAATAAGGTTTAATCAAATAATAATAATGAATTGTTAAGTTTTGTTAATTATTATTAATAATTTATTGTTCAATTAATTATTTTTTATTTTTTTTTTATTATCAATAAATATTATTTATATCTAAAATTTTAATTATACTTTTTTATTAATTTATTAAATTTTTAATTCTTATTATTACCATTTTTTAATTATTATCTATTAGTTTGTTTTACTCTCAATAATTATTATTTATATCTTATATTATAATTTTATTTTTAAGTAACTAATTTTTTAAATATTATTTATTATAATTACTTTTTATAATTATTGGTTACCAATTATGTTTTTATTAGCTTTGTTCTCAACTATTTTTACCAATTGTCGTTTTTTATCCCACAGTTAAATTTGGAAAAATATTTGAATTAATCTTCAGAATTTAAAGGAAGAATCAATAGTATAAAAAAGTAATTAATTTTTTTTAATTTAACTAAATTAAACAAATTAGAAATGAATGTTAAATAA